CCTACCAAAATTCGATTTTTTGAGTGAAAACTTAAAAGTCCATTTTCTGGCTAAACTATAAGAGATAGAGCAAAATCAATGAAAATCTGTGATCACATTTTCTGGCTAAATCTGTGATTACTCTTACTTCCTACCAAAATTCGATTTTTTGAGTGAAAACATAAAAGTCCATTTTCTGGCTAAACTATAAGAGATAGAGCAAAAACAATGAAAATCTGTGATCACTCTTACTTCCTACCAAAATTCGATTTTTTGAGTGAAAACATAAAAGTCCAATTTCTGGCTAAACTATAAGAGCTAGAGCAAAAACAATGAAAATCTGTGATCACTCTTACTTCCTACCAAAATTCGATTTTTTGAGTGAAAACATAAAAGTGCATTTTCTGGCTAAACTATAAGAGCTAGAGCAAAATCAATGAAAATCTGTGATCACATTTTCTGGCTAAATCTGTGATTACTCTTACTTCCTACCAAAATTCGATTTTTTGAGTGAAAACATAAAAGTCCATTTTCTGGCTAAACTATAAGAGATAGAGCAAAAACAATGAAAATCTGTGATCACTCTTATTTATTACCAAAACTCGATTTTTTGAGTGAAAACATAAAAGTCCATTTTCTGGCTAAACTATAAGAGATAGAGCAAAAACAATGAAAATCTGTGATCACTCTTTTTTCCTACCAAAATTCGATTTTTTGAGTAAAAACATAAAAGTGCATTTTCTGGCTAAACTATAAGAGCTAGAGCAAAAGCAATGAAAATCTGTGATCACTCTTACTTCCTACCAAAATTAGATTTTTTGAGTGAAAACATAAAAGTCCATTTTCTGGCTAAACTATAAGAGATAGAGCAAAAACAATGAAAATCTGTGATCACTCTTACTTCCTACCGAAATTCGATTTTTTGAGTGAAAACATAAAAGTCCATTTTCTGGCTAAACTATAAGAGCTAGAGCAAAAACAATGAAAATCTGTGATCACTCTTACTTCCTACCAAAATTCGATTTTTTGAGTGAAAACATAAAAGTCCATTTTCTGGCTAAACTATAAGAGCTAGAACAAAAACAATGAAAATCTGTGATCACTCTTACTTCCTACCAAAATTCGGTTTTTTGAGTGAAAACATAAAAGTCCATTTTCTGGCTAAACTATAAGAGATAGAGCAAAAACAATGAAAATCTGTGATCACTCTTACTTCCTACCAAAATTCAATTTTTTGAGTGAAAACATAAAAGTCCATTTTCTGGCTAATCTATAAGAGGTAGAGCAAAAACAATGAAAATCTGTGATCACTCTTACTTCCTACCAAAATTCGATTTTTTGAGTGAAAACATAAAAGTCCATTTTCTGGCTAAACTATAAGAGATAGAGCAAAAACAATGAAAATCTGTGATCACTCTTACTTCCTACCGAAATTCGATTTTTTGAGTGAAAACATAAAAGTCCATTTTCTGGCTAAACTATAAGAGATAGAGCAAAAACAATGAAAATCTGTGATCACTCTTACTTCCTACCAAAATTCAAATTTTTGAGTGAAAACATAAAAGTCCATTTTCTGGCTAAACTATAAGAGATAGAGCAAACACAATGAAAATCTGTGATCACTTTTATTTCCCACCAAAACTCGTTTTTTTGAGTGAAAACATAAAAGTGCATTTTCTGGCTAAACTATAAGAGATAGAGCAAAAACAATTAAAGTCTGTGATCACTACTTCCTACCAAAATTCTATTTTTTGAGTGAAAACAAAAAAGTCAATTTTCTGGCTAAACTATAAGAGATAGAGCAAAAACAATGAAAATCTGTGATCACTTTTATTTCCTACCAAAATTCGATTTTTTGAGTGAAAACATAAAAGTCCATTTTCTGGCTAAACTATAAGAGATAGAGCAAAAACAATGAAAATCTGTGATCACTCTTATTTCCTACCAAAATTCGATTTTTTGAAAAAGTCAAAACATGAGTGAAAACATAAAAGTCCATTTTCTGGCTAAACTATAAGAGATAGAGCAAAAACAATGAAAATCTGTGATCACTCTTACTTCCTACCAAAATTCGATTTTTTGAGTGAAAACATAAAAGTCCATTTTCTGGCTAAACTATAAGAGATAGAGCAAAAACAATGAAAATCTGTGAACACCCTTACTTCCTACCAAAATTCGATTTTTTGAGTGAAAACATAAAAGTCCATTTTCTGGCTAAACTATAAGAGCTAGAGCAAAAACAATGAAAATCTGTGATCACTCTTTCTTCCTACCAAAATTCGATTTCTTGAGTGAAAATATAAAAGTCCATTTTCTGGCTAAACTATAAGAGATAGAGCAAAAACAATGAAAATCTGTTATCACTCTTACTTCCTACCAAAATTCGATTTTTTGAGTGAAAACATAAAAGTCAATTTTCTGGCTAAACTATAAGAGATAGAGCAAAAACAATGAAAATCTGTGATCACTCTTTTTTCCTACCAAAATTCGATTTTTTGAGTGATTTGTTGAGAGCTAGAGCAAAAACAATGAAAATCTGTGATCACTTTTATTTCCTACTTAAATTCGATTTTTTGAGTGAAAACATAAAAGTCCATTTTCTTCCTAAACTATAAGAGATAGAGCAAAAACAATGAAAATCTGTGATCACTCTTTTTTCCTACCAAAATTCGATTTTTTGAGTGATTTTTTGAGAACAATGAAAATCTGTGATCACTTCTACTTCCTACCAAAATTCAATTTTTTGAGTGAAAACATAACTGTAAGAGCTAGAGCAAAACCAATTAAAATCTCTGATCACTTCTACTTCCTACTTAAATTCGATTTTTTGAGTGAAAACATAACAGTCCATTTTCTGGCTAAACTAAAAGTCCCAGAAAAGGATTAAAATCTTTGATCACTTGTTTTTGCTATCAAAACTCGATTTTTGAGTGAAAACATAAAATTCCATTTTCTGGCTAAACTAAAGGCCCCAGGCCAAAAAGGATTATTAATGGATAGAATATCCATTGATATGCTTTATATATGTGTATATTAAATTGGAAAGTTTATCCTTCAGAGTCCTCATGTAAAAGCTACTACCCTAATGTACATTAATAAATAAAATTTTCATACTTATGCAATTTATGTTTATTGGAGCAAAAATAAAACAACTGGAAAAGATTTAAGTCATAAATAAATTTAAAGATTTAAAATAATTTAATAATTTTGAGGCCAATGAATTGTTCATTTATTTCAAACAATTCCAGAAGATATTTAACAGAGCAAATTTAAAAATATATTAAAAGATACATCTTTATATATACAAAGTTAAATATCAACAAGTAAGAAAGTATAGTCGGGCGAGGCCGACCATATGATACCCTACACCAGTTATGAATATTAAATGTGATTTATTTTTCATAATAAAGCATTTATCTTCAATATTCCCTTGTTCCGATACATTTAAGCAATTTATGGATAAAAAACTAATTTTCTGAAAGAGGCTTTATATGGGGGCTAGGGGCAAATATGGACCAAGCCCGATAAAATTTTGTGAATATATTTATATTTACATAATATTTTATTGTGCTGAATTTCATCGCGATATTTGTGTTTATAAGTTAATTTGGGACATTCAAGTAATTTTCTGAAGGGGACTTTGTATGGGAGCTAGGGTCAAATGGGGCCCGATCTTAATGAAATTTTGCAGGGTCATCAAGACTTCTATAAAACTTAGTTATGCCATATTTTATCGATATATCTGTATATTTAACATAATTATGAGCTCAGTAGCCCTTTTCGGAGGGACCTGTTCTATGGGGGCTAGGTGAAATAATGGACCGATTTTAATAGGCTTCGTCCTTGGGTCAAATAAAACGTGCGTGCCAAATTTCATCCAATTATCTTGAAAATTGCGACCTATACCTTGCGCACAAGGTTTACATGGACAGCCAGCCAGACGGACGGACGGACGGACATAGCTTAATCGACTCAGAAAACGATTCTAAGCCGATTGGTATACTTTAAGGTGGGTCTAGGACGAATATTTTTGTATGTTACAAACATCAGCACAAATCCAATATACCCTCCCCACTAAAGTGGTGTAGAGTACAATCATAGATCATTTTAAAAACTAAACTTCACCCTATTAACTAAGTTAGTGTTAACAAAGTTAAACTTAGTCTTTGATCTATAGTCTAATTTTAGCTTTTATTGTAAATTTTTATAAATTAAATTTAGACTTAATCGTAAATCTGTTTGTAACCCAATTTCAACTTCAGTCTTTGATATTTTTATAAGCAAAGTTTATACTTGATCTCTGATTTTTTTATACCCTACACTACTTTAGTGGGGAAGGTATATTGGGTTTGTGCTGATGTTTGTAACGCATAATAATATTGTTCCTTTACCCACCTTAAAGTATACCAATCGGCTTAGAATTTTTTTCTGAGTCGATGTAGCTATGTCCGTCCGTCTGACCGTCCGTCTTTCCGTCCGTCTGTCCGTCCGTCTGTCTGTCTGTCTGTCTGTCTGTCTGTCTGTCTGTCTGTCTGTCTGTCTGTCTGTCCGTCCATGTAAACCTTGTAATCAAACTACAGGTCGCAATGAAGATAATTCAATAAAATTTGGTACGTTATCTTTTATTGTCCCGGAATCCTCCGAATAAGGGCTCTTAAGCTCATAATTATGTTTAATATACTAGCATCTCGACAAAAAGCTGCAGAACCAAGTTCTATACTAGCCTTGATGATCCTGATGAATTTTATAAAATTGTTTATGATTTTAGTTCTTTTCAATTGTTGAGCTTTTTATACTCGTGATCAGTTAAGATGAGACTCCAACTAAGACATCTAAAATTTTATAGTAGATTATATGTCTTTTTTATATACACATATAATTTGAATACGTCTAACTATATTAAACCCTCCTGAAATGATTGTAATTTCAAAACACTAACAAATAGTTTTTCATTTAAAACATATAACAACATAATAATATCATTATTATTATTTTTCCCATTCTTTACCATTACAGACGCAAACAGGATGAGGTTATAACATTGGAAATGCAAATCAAGCAACGTTCAGAGCAGCAGAAAAAAGCTGGTGTTGAACTTGATGCAACCTGTCACATATGCCTTAAGACGAAATTTGCCGATGGTGTTGGACACATTTGTAACTACTGTAATACAAGATGCTGTGCTCGTTGTGGAGGCAAAGTGACACTACGCAGCAATAAGGTAAGTGTGTTAGTCATACGTGGTGTAGGTAGGGGTAGGTTTTTTTTTTTGTTTTTTCTGGATAATGGCATGAGTAAATAGCAGCATTAAATTTTCACACAACATTACTTACAAGTTTGATGACAGTTTTGGTTCTAAAAAGGAAAAATGCCAAGTAGAGTGAATGAAAGAATCTTAAGTTTACTTTGACTGACAAGTTACATGAATATTTAAACTTTATAGATTTTTCGGGTAGCTTTTTCATTCAGCTTATTTACTCATTGTACTTATTGCTCAAATACTAATTATTTTGAAAGTTGTGTGGTTTTAAGGGTTTTTCTGTTTTCTAATTTTATTTTATAAAATGTAGGTCGTTGTTGTTAAGCGCAAAGATAATATATACATACATATATAAATAAGTTGCAAATATTTTATAGAAATTGTTGTTGTTTGGTAAGTGATTCTAACACCACACATTATTTGTCTTTAAATAATGGTTTATGTGACGCCAAATTTCCTAAAAACCGGCTACGCAAATCCTATGTCTAAAAATTTTCACTTTAAACACTCACTCGCCAACGTTGTTTTCATACAATGTTTGTCATTTTCCGTTAGGGTTTTGTTTGAAAAATTGGTTACTGCGTAACTTTATCTTCTCAATTATCTACATGAGTAGAGTTTGTTGTTTGTGTTTCTTGTGGCAGCAATATGTTGAAGGTTATTTCATAGAAACTAAAGAAAAAAAACCCCATATAGAAAACAAACCATTATAATTTTGCCAAAAAAAAAAAATACTACAATACTTATAAATAAATACTTATAAATAAATGAAGGACAACTCATTTTCTTAACTAAAATTATAAGACACCAACATTGTTATTAGTATTTAAGAAAATATTTCGCCCTTTTTTTAATATTTAATATTATTTAGGTCATTTTATTGTTTAGCATTACTGCAAGTTAAATTGGTTAAAAAGTATAAAAGTAAAATTGAAATGAATTAATACTATATATAATCTATGGACAAACTTCTTTGATAATCTGGATTGGAAAAGTTTAGCTTCAAAGTTCAAGCGCCATGCTGATCTTATGACACCCTACACCAGTGACTATATTTTCTAAATTTTTCTAAAAGTGAGGTTATTGGGGACAGTGGGTTAATATGGGTCTATCCTTATAAATGTTGGTAGAGAGTTTTAAGTCAACATTAAAGTTATTTATGCAGAATATCATCGTGATATTAGTGTTTATAAGTTAATATTAACCATCAAGTAATTTTCAGAAGGGGACTTTATATGGGAGATACGAAAATCAGCAGCATCATTAAGACTTTCATATATAAAACTAAGTATTGCTGATTTTGGAGTGACTAACTAACTAACTAACTAACTAACTAACTAACTAACTAACTAACTACTAACTAACTAACTAACTAACTAACTAACTAACTAACTAACTACTAACTAACTAACTAACTATACTAACTAACTAACTAACTAACTAACTAACTAACTAACTAACTAACTAACTAACTAACTAACTAACTAACTAACTAACTAACTAACTAACTAACTAACTAACTAACTAACTAACTAACTACTAACTAACTAACTAACTAACTACTAACTAACTAACTAACTAACTAACTAACTAACTAACTAACTAACTAACTAACTAACTAACTAACTAACTAACTAACTAACTAACTAACTAACTAACTACTAACTAACTAACTAACTAACTACTAACTAACTAACTAACTAACTAACTAACTAACTAACTAACTAACTACTAACTACTAACTAACTAACTAACTAACTAACTAACTAACTACTAACTAACTACTAACTAACTAACTAACTAACTACTAACTACTAACTAACTAACTAACTACTAACTAACTAACTAACTAACTAACTAACTAACTAACTAACTAACTAACTAACTAACTAACTAACTAACTAACTAACTAACTAACTAACTAACTACTACTAACTAACTAACTAACTAACTAACTAACTAACTAACTAACTAACTAACTAACTACTAACTAACTAACTAACTACTAACTAACTAACTAACTACTAACTAACTAACTAACTAACTAACTAACTAACTAACTAACTAACTAACTACTAACTAACTAACTAACTAACTAACTAACTACTAACTAACTAACTAACTAACTAACTAACTAACTAACTAACTAACTACTAACTACTAACTACTACTAACTAACTAACTAACTAACTACTAACTAACTAACTAACTACTAACTAACTAACTACTAACAACTAACTAACTAACTACTAACTAACTAACTACTAACTAACTAACTAACTAACTAACTAACTAACTAACTAACTAACTAACTAACTAACTAACTAACTAACTAACTAACTAACTAACTAACTAACTAACTACTACTAACTAACTAACTAACTACTAACTAACTAACTAACTACTAACTAACTAACTAACTAACTAACTAACTAACTACTAACTAACTAACTAACTAACTAACTAACTAACTAACTAACTAACTAACTAACTAACTAACTAACTAACTAACTAACTAACTAACTAACTAACTAACTAACTAACTAACTAACTAACTAACTAACTAACTAACTACTAACTAACTAACTAACTAACTAACTAACTAACTAACTAACTAACTAACTAACTAACAACTAACTAACTAACTAACTAACTAACTAACTAACTAACTAACTAACTAACTAACTAACTAACTAACTAACTAACTAACTAACTAACTAACTAACTAACTAACTAACTAACTAACTAACTAACTAACTAACTAACTAACTAACTAACTAACTAACTAACTACTAACTAACTAACTACTAACTAACTAACTAACTAACTACTAACTAACTAACTAACTAACTAACTAACTAACTAACTAACTAACTAACTAACTAACTAACTAACTAACTAACTAACTACTAACTAACTAACTAACTAACTAACTAACTAACTAACTAACTAACTAACTAAACTAACTAACTAACTAACTACTAACTACTAACTAACTAACTAACTAACTAACTAACTAACTAACTAACTAACTAACTAACTAACTAACTAACTAACTAACTAACTAACTAACTAACTAACTAACTAACTAACTACTAACTAACTAACTAACTAACTAACTAACTACTAACTAACTAACTAACTACTAACTAACTAACTAACTAACTAACTAACTAACTAACTAACTAACTAACTAACTAACTACTAACTAACTAACTAACTAACTAACTACTAACTAACTAACTAACTAACTAACTAACTAACTAACTAACTAACTAACTAACTAACTAACTAACTAACTAACTAACTAACTAACTACTAACTAACTAACTAACTAACTAACGTAACTAACTAACTAACTAACTAACTACTAACTAACTAACTAACTAACTAACTAACTAACTAAGCTAACTAACTACTAACTAACTACTAACTAACTAACTAACTAACTAACTAACTAACTAACTAACTAACTAACGAACTACTAACTAACTAACTAACTAACTACTACCAACTAACTAACTAAACGACTAACACTAACTAACTAATAACTAACTAACTAACTAACTTAGCTAACTAACTAACTAACTAACTGGCTAACACTAACTCATAACTAACTAACTAGGCTAACTAACTAACTAACTAACTAACTAACTAACTAACTAACTAACTAACTAAACTAACTAACTCAATCTAACTAACTAACTAACTAACCTAACTAACTAACTAACTAACTAACTAACTAACTAACTAACTAACTAACTAACTAACTAACTAACTAACTAACTAACTACTAACTAACTAACTAACTAACTAACTAACTAATACTAACTACTAACTAACGAACTAACTACTAACTAACTAACTAACTAACTAACTAACTAACTAACTAACGAACTAACTAACTAACTAACTAACTAACTACTAACTAACTACTACTAACTAACTACTAACTAACTAACTAACTAACTAACTAACTAACTAACTAACTAACTAACTAACTAACTAACTAACTAACTAACTAACTAACTAACTAACTAACTAACTAACTAACTAACTACTAACTAACTAACTAACTAACTAACTAACTAACTAACTAACTAACCAACCGACCTGTAGTTTGCGCACAAGGTTTCCATGGACACACAGACGGACGGCTGACAGACGGACATAGCTAAATCGTCTCAGAAAGTGATTTTGAACCGATTGGTATACTTGGTGGGTGTAGGACCAATATTTTTGGGTGTTACAAACATCAGCATAAACGCATAATACCTTCCCCACTATAGAGGTGTAGGGTATAGTCAGCACAGACGCATAATACCCTCTCCACTATAGTGGTGTAGGATATAAAAATCATAAAACATTTCATATACTTAGCGCTGACCTTAGATAGTCCAAATTTCGTAGATTTTTCCATAATTTGTTGGGTGGTTATCGTGGCAGATCACTGCACGCAAACATTTAATTAGAGTCAAAGGTACTCTCTTTTGACTTGTATAGTATTATATGCAGCCTGTAGTCATAAGAAATCTCAGGTCATTTTGTTTTGACCCAGAAATCTCACAAAGGTTGGTTATGAAGTAACTGCCAAGGAAACTGTTGTCGCGGATATAGCAGAACATTCGCAATCCGGGTTTAAAGAGGTGCTACCAGTACCTCTAGTCTGTCGGGACTATAAACTGGTGGTGTCTCTTCACTCCTCGGCTAGTCCTTGGTATTGTTTGACATGGGGTCTAACCAGAGAACCACATAATTTGGTACTACGTGTGGCCAGTTGCCACTATGTCCTGGCTGGTCAGTTGGTTGAGGTTCCTTCGGGATACACGTAGTGGCTGTGGTTTAAACCCAAATTCGCTGGAAGAGTAAATGGTGGTTAAAAGACTGATGTAAGGTAAAGTCAATATTTCGGGATAAGTTCGGTGCAGTTGCCGAAGACAACAGATATCCAACAGAGGAGT